CCCCCCCCGCTCCTCTTCTATCACATCCATTTGCCTTTTGCCCACACCTCCCACCTCCATTCTTTATCCATCATATGTGGTTTTATGCGACGCTCACTTCCATTAGCCGGCTCCTCCATTTTATTTGTCCTCTACGGCCCACAGGACGTCAGAGAATATATGTCATGTGTGTCGAGATGGGGGACAATTAAACCGAGAGATTAATGAGTTGGGTAAATGAATTAATGCAGTGAGAGGAAAATCCAAAAAAATTATTTGATGTGACGTTTTTGGTGTAGGTGGCAGCACTGGGATTGGGGCCTTTCATTCGCATTCGTTGGATCCTTATGAAAGACACATGTTGAAACGTCATTCCTCGAAAGTTGTATCTGACAAATATCGAATCGACATCTTGAATCCCTCGAGGCGCTGTCTATTCTCACGTCGCCTCTGTTGTCTAGTCTCACGCCGTAGAAAATCGCGAAATCGATTGTTTTATTTTGTTGGATGAAGGGATTTCATTTGTAAAATGTGTGACAATTGAACATTCGTCTGACCACCACCATCCGTTCCATTTATAATTCGGAGAAGGAAAAGTTTAATTGAAAAGTGGCACTCCTAGCGGAGTAACAACTTAACTCTCAACTGAGATATCGAGGCAAATCTCCAAATCTAAAGGAGATAACGAAATTTTCATCATAACCTTTTTTGTAGCGCGAATTGAGGGCTACAGAAAAGGTCGAGACAAAAATTTCGCTATCTGCCTCACATTCCGAGATATTTATTTCCCAGAACAAAGCAAATTCCGCGAATAATGAGAAAATTTACATCCACGATTTTAAGACGCAGTATTTTCTCCCAAAGCACTTGATCAAACATACGATTCGTGCGCGGAGGAAAGACGACCTGATACGACACATCCACAAGTTTTACCTAATACGGAAATCGTATGAATTCGCATAAGCGCGACTGCTGGAATATTACCAAAGGGTTTGTTTGCACAGACTCAGGGGTATTTCGTACGTTTTTCACCCTCTCCGTTGCCAGAGGTAGTTTGCTCTTCGGCCTAGCCCGCACTTTTCTCAGCGTATCTTGCCAAGCTGCTATGTTGTCCTCCTCACTACATTCAGGTTCAACTCCTCCATCGTGAGAGTCCTTTGCCGCCCGGCTCCCTCCCCCTCCCGTATATACTTTCGTACGAGTCCCGCTCCTTCGCACATTTATCAGGATTTTCGAGGGAGCTAGACTTTTTAAGCCGCAATAAATTCCTGAAGGGTAGACACACGCGCGCGTGCGCGTCTCCGTACCTCTAACGACACTTTGAACTCATAAAACGAGAAAAAGATGTGTTTCGGGGGAATGGGAAATTTTTGAGAAGTGGTGCTCGGATATTTTTTGATTCATCGATTGTTTTTTCGAAATGGTTCACGCGACAGAGAACTAAATGATGAATCGTTGGGTACTTTTTCGCATTTTCTCTACACTGTTGGACATTTTTTGAAATTTAAGGAACAGGTAAATTTGAATTTTCAAAATTCGGAAGTTGAATTCAATTTCAGACTGAAGTGCTCATGGAATTCCTGATGCGTCTTGGAAATTCAATAAAATTAGGTTTTCATGATGAATGATCATTGAATTTTCAATGACAATTTGGATTTTCACACCTATCGCGATAATTGAGAATTACATTCAATTGAATTTTCAAGAGATTAAAAATTCAGATGAAAATTTTCCTGAATTTTGACGGTCGTATGAACCTGAGAACTCAAATTTCATTGAATATTCAAGAAAATTGATTGATTTATCAATGACAAGATCAATGGAAATTCCGCGTAAATTATTCGTTGTTTCTTCGTTGCTTTTTTTACATTTTTTACACAAATAGTGAATTTTTTCATATGAAAAAAACCTAAATCATCTGTGTAGGAGTCGAATCCCGAGAAACTTAAAATCGTCAAGACATCCGCAACTGCGTCAATTAAAATCCGCAATAACTGTCTCTCATCCCCCCCCCCTCTCCCTGAAACAAAAAAAATTCAAGCGAGCTTTTGATATCTCCGCACACCCCCCTGTGCGTTATACAGCCCACGGTTAAACGACGCGCGATGTGGGAAGGGGTTGAGCACGAAGCGGTTATTATCTATCGCTCTCGTTACCACAGGTTGCTCGTAAACCGGCCGCATCAGGGGTGAGAGGGAGGACTGGAAATGGCGGCATGAGAGCCATATAGAGAGCATAGGTATACGGTAGACGCTCGCGTAACGTCGACCCCTCATCCCCATGAATGTCTTGACTTTTTGATTCTACAGCGCGGGAATTGAGTGTTCGGCGACAATTTTCTACTGCTAAATTTATTTTCAAAACTTTCATATGATTTTTTTTTTTGTGATTTGAGAGTTGATACAGTTCCTACGAGAGCCGCACGGGTGGGAAGATTATTAAGAAATTTTAATGTCACAAGTTTAATGAAGTTCTAATGATAATTAACTTCAATTCAATTCGCTTTCGTAAATTAAATTTCAAGCATGAAACATTTTATTTAAATACAGTTGGAACTTTAGTCATTGCAATTCCAGTCACCAGGAATACCGCATTTACCTGTCGTCTTAAATAAATCCACATCAAGATATTAATTTCAGCAAAATAACGATAAACCCCGTTTTACATTAATTTTCCCATAAATTCCGCGTCCCCTTGAATTCCTAATCAACGTACTTAAAAAAAAATATTCCGACTCTACAATTTACTATGATTTTATTGTAATGAGCCCCGGATTCATACCTTGATATTTCCATCACTCATGCGCCTCGACATCGAGAAATATGAAGACAAGACGTGCAATGAAGATAAACCAAAGGTGAATGTTGACCACAGAACCAGAAAAGTATCCCCCCGGAGTGTCCGATAGAATCGGATTGAGATCAAGACTTTTTATTATCATTTCAACTCTTATTTACCATTGCATGAGCGCGAAACGCACCTAATTTACCGTTGTCCTGTCTTTTTGATTTTAGGACAAATGAATCGAGTAGATGATGACTATTTTCTACTGCAAAATTAATTTTTTCAACCCCTTCATATCAATTTTTTAAATGTGATTCGCGAGACTGAAATTTCTTTGGAAAATCTCTAAAAAATGAGGGTCATGAAAACATTTCAAGACACTTGAAATCATATTCATTGCAATTCCGCTCACCAACAATAACGCATTTAACGCAATAACCTGCCGTCTTAAATAAATCCCCATTCAAGATATTAATGTCAGCAATCCACCGACAAACCCCCGTTTCACATTAATTTTCCCATAAATTCCCGGTCCCCTTGAATTCCTAAACAACCCATCTAAAAAAAAAATATTCCAACATTAAAATTTACTATGATTTTATTGTAATGAGCCCCCTATTCATACCTCCACATTTCCATCGAGAAATATCAAAACAAGACGTGCAATGAAGATAAACCAAAGGTGAATGTTGACCGCAGAACCAGAAAAGCAATCCCCCCGGAGTGTCCGATAGAATCGGATTGAGATCAAGACTTGCCTCCGCATTTTTTTATTGCCATTTTATCCTTTATTTATCCGTGCATGAGCGCGAATTGCGCGTAACCCCCGCGGGGTAACAGCATGCCGTCGCGACAGGAGGGCATCCACCACTACATGTCGCGCAGTGTCAGTGTCACAACTACTATGAAATACGCCTGGTGTACCCCCTCCCCCCTTCACCCCCCCCCCCCCCGCCCACACCCACAGCCACCCACACACAAGAACGGGTTACAATCGTGGAATATAGATGGGCACACACTCA